TCTGTCTGTCTTTCTGTCTGTCTTTCTGTCTGTCTTTCTGTCTGTCTTTCTGTCTGTCTTTCTGTCTGTCTTTCTGTCTGTCTTTCTGTCTGTTCTTCAGGTTTTTCCTCAAGTTCTTCCTGAAGTGTAACCAGAACTGCCTGAAGAACGCGGGGAACCCTCGAGACATGAGGCGTTTTCAGGTACGACCTGCGGACGAAGGTCACGCTGAGGTCATGCTGAGGTCCATCAGACTTCACTGATCTTCATCATCAACCAATCACTAATAAAGTCAAACCAACGACAGTCGTAGAGGGGGAAAAAAATATGGTATCTCAGTATCACAGTATCACAGTATCACAGTATCTCAGTATCTCAGTATCACAGTATCACAGTATCTCAGTATCACAGTATCTCAGTATCACAGTATCACAGTATCTCAGTATCGCAGTATCACAGTATCACAGTATCTCAGTATCGCAGTATCACAGTATCACAGTATCACAGTATCACAGTATCACAGTATCACAGTATCTCAGTATCACAGTATCGCAGTATCTCAGTATCTCAGTATCTCAGTATCTCAGTATCGCAGTATCACAGTATCTCAGTATCACAGTATCTCAGTATCTCAGTATCACAGTAATCTGATGTTAAGCTGGAACAGCGATGTGTCTTTACTATGGTGACAGTTTGACTACACTGATTAAATAAATCAAATTACATCATATCGTTGGATCGTGATCCGTATCACGATACTTTACCAGATTCTTGTTCAACTACCAGACGATTTATAAATGTAGCGGTGAGCGGTGTTTCAGTTTCAGGGGTCACGGGGTCACGGGGGTCACGGGGGTCTCTGACTTCACTTCTCTGTTCCGCCCAGGTGGTGGTGTCGACCACGGTGAGCGTGGAGGGTCACGTCCTGGCCGTCTCAGACAACATGTTCGTTCACAACAACTCCAAACACGGACGCAGAGCACGAAGGCTGGACCCTTCAGAAGGAACGCCCTCCTACTTGGAACACGGTACCAGGAACTCTATGACTCTCTCTCTCTCTACCCCTCTCACCCCCCCCCCCCCCCCAGCTTCCCCTCTCGACCCCTCCCTGTCTCCGATCTAGTCCTCTCTCGTCGTCTTCTTATCTCCCTCGTCTTCCTGCTGGAGTCCTACTTTCTTCACTTGTAAGGCTTTGAAGCTCCAGCTCAGAGGGAGACTGTAGTACTGTAGTAGTACTACAGCTAGTACTGAGTTTCCCGTCCCTCCCATGTGGCCTGCCCCCCCCCCAGGTCTCTGCCTATGGGCCTTCTCCTCTCTGTCTTATGAGGTCTGTTCAGCTTAGAGCCAACACTGGCTTTATTTCCTCAGAGACCTGCTTTTATCCTGCAGCCCCCCCCCCCCCCCCCCCCCCCCCCCACCTTCCATCACCACCACACCCACCCACACACACACACACGCAACCAAATCTTTAATACTCCATAATGACATGTGCAGATGATTTTAGAGCTGGCGCTGATTCCCAGCTCCCTAATCCAGTTATTTTCTCATTTGGATTTGGAGACATTGAATAAGAGAAACATTTTTTTGTTGTTGTTGAGGAAAAGTAAACCTCAGGGACGATAAAGACGGAAAACTAAGGAGGGATTTACATGACGGCCTGCAGCGGATTTTATTCAGATTGGATGTGGTGGTCCAACCTGTGGCGACGGTTCTCTGGAGGTCGATGTGATCGGACCAACGGCTGAGGAGAAACGTCCGTGTTGGAGAAGTCAGCTGGAGTCAGAGCGAACGGAGAGAGGAGTTTTCCAGATGTCGACTGTGTGGGAGAGATTGAGAGGGAAGTTTCCTCCTCTCTCAGCTGAGAGGGTAGGGAGGAAGAGGCGACACGGGGGGGGGGACCTCCCTGAAGACGGGGGTCAACGTGTTCAAAAAAACACTTTTTTTTTTTATATAAACTCCTTTCCAGAACTTCTGAGGTCCGTTTCAGGCAGTAAGACGAGCAGAGATTGAACAGATGGCAGCGAGGAACACCCCAGACTATAATCCTATCACATGGATTCACGTTCCACCATCTGGTTAATCCACACACACACACGCACACACACGCACACACTGTGTGTGTGCGGCAGTGAAAAGGCGGCGTCTTAGGCCATGATTACGGCCACAGATTGTCACTCGCTGAACACTGATCTCTGCAGGCGAATCAGGGAGCAGGATATCGCCGGGGCTTGTGGGTGAGGATCCACAGA